TTTGAAGTTTTTTGCATCTATGATTATCTACCAAAATGGATTTAAATCCTGTGAACACCAAATTGGTTCTTGAACATGAATCAAATGTTGTTTTAAAAATTCAATCTATTTCACATAATGAAATCTGCTAAGGCTGCAAGAGAGTCTCAACTAAAAATTCATGTAAATTCATTCTCCAAGTAATAAATATCAAAACCCGACAAAATAGCCAGTAATAACCATTAAAAATACAATGGCAGAGGGCAGATGTTGGCATAACAAGTCAATACATCCATATCAGGGCGCACAGGTTTACGTCTTTGCTTTCCTAATTCCACTCCAGCCCCCGGTTAATGCACACTGTGCAAGGCAGATGTGATGATTCAACTAGTCTGGTCCTTCCGTCCCTGTGTCTACCCCAGATTGAGCTCCTCCTTTCTGGTTTCAGCCTGATCCAGCTCAGTTATCGTGGACATTTGGGGAATTAAATAGTAAGCTGAATTCTTGTTCCCTTGGCTCCTTTCTTCCTCCCCCCTTTCCTGTCTCCCCCTGTCCCTCTCTCTTTCTCTTCCTCTCTCCATTTCTCCCTCTCTTTCTCACAGACTTATTCTCCACTGAGCTTAAGTGCCAATCCCATTAAAACTAAACTTTCTATTGGCAGTTTAATGGGGCCAGGGATCAAATATAAAAGCGGAGAGGCCCTCAAAATTTTAAGTTTTAAGCTAACCTCCCCACATTAAAGCAGACCTCAAAGGACTATATTCTCAGGGAAGCCAACTTGTACAGTGGCTGAACAGTTAGCACTGCCGAAGAGACTCCTGCAGATTGACTTAAGGCAATCTTAGATGGACAGTGCCCCAATACCCCAACACACACACGAAAGGTAAATTCTCTCTGGAAGGGACATCAGCCTCGGTAACTTGAAGCTACTATAAATCGTCAGAATGAATTTTTCATAGCATTTATTCATGCCTAAAATTGAAAAATTGCTAAAACTATTACATCACCTAGTCTCCATTTTACAGTTTTTTTATGGGACATTATGTATATACTTGATCACCTATATATCTATTTGTTTTGTACTTTGCATGAAGGCTACCTTAAAGAAAACATGATATTTGTCCTTTTGAATTTGACTTATTTCCCTGAGTCTAATGGTCTCCAGGTAGAACCATTTTGTTGCAAATGGTAGGATTTCATCTTTTTGATGGCTCTATGTAACGGTGATTAGCATACTGGGAAGTGAAGATACCTTGCAGTACCCATCCCTACTGCTGAATAAAAACAGGACTTGCCATGAAGCAGTTAAATATAACTTAACAATAGGATACTAGTCAGTATGCCTTTGTCAACACCTACAATGCCATGCTGTACTTAAATAGCAAAATTTTAAACTTGTAACTTCCTATGGAGGAAAACAGTGAGGGCAGAAAAAAAAAATTGGGAAAAAATGGGGGGTTGGGCAAGTGGAAGAATAGTTACACTTACAAACCTATCATGGAACATAGCAACATTAAAAACATTTTTAAAATAACAGATAAAACTTCAAAAATAAAAGGAATACCAAAAGAGAGACTCCCAATGAAACAGTTAAATATATGTTGGCAGTGTGATACTAGATTTTCTACCTTTGCTTATACCGCACTGACATGATACAAATAAATGGCAGAAAGTTAAACTTGCAACTGTTGCTAAAGGACTATACTACCAGAATAGTGTGGGAGAAAATGGTGGGAGGAGAAAACAGGAAGAGGGAGGAATCCTTATACCTATAAAAGTGTATTATGGAAAATAATAATGCTGCAACAACAATAATAAAACTTACATGTCAGCTTAGCAGTTACCATATAAATTGACCACTGTAGACTAAGAGCTTTTTCCTCCACCATGTGCACAGCAACTTACTGACTTACGGTTACTTAATAACTCTACAAACCTGTTCTCTTCTCTCCTCTGTACTTTGTATGTGTTGCTGAAGGCCCTACAGCTGCTTTTGTGGAAAAGAACCTTGACTGAGTTTAGAGTTCAGTGGATACGGCAATAAGCCACAATTGGACTTATGACACCTAGAATTCAAGCTGTACATGTTCATCACTCTAGCAGGCAGTTTAAAACAGAGCAAAACACAAAATGCAACTCTAGGTTCCTCCAGAGTTTTGATGGGGAAGAAAATGAAAAAGAAGGAGAATTCCTGCTATTTATTACAATGTTAAATATTCTTTGTTTTAGAGAATTTTGTTGGAAATCCACAATCTAGGAGGAGTTCAAATACAGAACCAAGTACCGAAGAAGCCTGGATGCAAGTTTGATATGTTCCATTCATGAGCTGTATGATATTGAGAAACGAATAAAAACTGTTCGCAGATCCTAGCTTGCGATTTTATAAAATGACACTGGAGGTCTGGATAAATTCTGTGGTTGTTTCTATATCCACAATCAATGTTGTTTATGCTTCTGTGGATTTCTCAGTGGAGGCAAATTGTGAGAGAAAGAAAGCTTATTCTAGAGGCCACAAGTGATTTGCGCATGTAAATCGTGGTCCCAGATAATATACCGAGGCGGAACAGGACATTCTCCAAAGAAAAGCACAACTACTTGCTTCTTTCAACAACGAAAGCAGCTGTTTTTTTAGAACCTGGGTGTGCAGGATTTCAAAGAGACTCCAGCAATCACTTCACATCCTAATAGGATAAAGTTTATGCATAATTCTGTATGACCCTTCAACTACTGATGTTCATGCCATGTTTTTGTTAGCATTGCATGTTAAGCGAGCAAATTTTCAATGAACTCTCTCTGGCTTTACCACAGACACAGATGTCAGGCGGACTCCTTTGTTCATACGGTTCTCATTATTAACTCAGCCTGAGTTGAATATTTGACTGAAGGAAAGGACCATATCATTATTTTCAGATTTCATTCTATGACTTAACTGGGCTACATTTGCCAGCTTTAGAAACACCAAGTACTCCTTGGCGCCAGCCTTGGCATTCTCTCCTATGACTACTACCCAAATGTTTCAGCTTGAGGAAGTCTACTCACCAGCAAAACAATTTAATAAAAACTTAAATTGTGATTAAGAGTTACTCATCAATTGACAGGGCATACCAAACTTGTGCCATTTGTGAATTAATCCCCGCAATATTTTCAGCTGAACAAATAGAATCCACATTCACAAAGTGCAAGAAAGCCAGTTGAAACATTTTCATGATTTATAAACTGTGTTGTACTTGAAACCATATTTCTTTAATAGGTAAACTGGCATTCTATTGGATAATTCAATCTGATTTAAATCTATTCTAAGTTTCTGGGCAGCTTAAGGGACATTCTAAGTGTAAATTCAATTTCTCTATTCAACTTTGGGCAATATCTCTCAGCATAAAAGTGATAGAAGGATATATCTCAGAAATACCTGTTAACTACAGGGTAGACTTCAACTATTAAAATGTTCAAATCACACCTAGTCCTACAAATAGAAAACATTTTATGAGTCTGTTACAGGTATAAATTAAAACAACAACATAAAAGAAATTTTAAAAGGCCATGATATTGCTGTGTCTGTGTGTCTGGACACAGTTAATAATATAAGTGGGCAAGAATAAGCTGAAATCATTTTTGGTGGATAGCAAAAAAAAAAAAAAAGTTAATCCCTCTATGTGCAAAAAAGCCCAGGTCCATGTTACAGTTGTATCAAATAACTGTATGAATAGGGACCAGTTCTGCTCCCTACAATAGTATGTGTACTATTTTGCTTTAGTGACTCAGCACTTCACAGTAGTTGGGGCAGAGCTAAGTGATCATGTCCTATTTCCCAGCCAACTTTAAAAACACCCAAGGTAAGTGGTATTTCTGGCTCACTAATCATGAGAAAACCACAAGGAAAACACCCTTCCCAGGGTCAGCTTTGTGTTGCAGGCAGTAATGCTGCCATCTGGAATGCTAGCCTCTCTAGGGGTGTCGATTCAAGTCCTAGCTGCTCCACTTCTCAGCTATCTCCTTGCTAATGCACCTGGGAGAACAGTGGAAGATGGACAAGGTGCGTGGGCCCTTGCTACCCATGTTGGAGACCTGGTGGGAGTTCCCAGGTCCAAACTCGGAACTTCTGTCTGGATTACCCCTGGCCACTATAGTCATTGGGGAGATGAACTAAGATATATGTCTCTTTCTCTATTTCTCCCTTTCTCTGTAATTCTTCTTTTCAAATAAACACATGGATCTAGAAGGAAAAAGAAAAGGAAAATACTTCCTTCTAATTTTCATTTGGGTTGAAATTGAGCTAATAGAGAATTCCAAGGTAATTTTCTCTTCTTTATATTAGCTCAGTAAATATTTGAGTTTCAAGGCCCAATCAGATTTTCTCTCCTTCAGATTAGCCAAGTATTTTTTTAATGACAGAGAGATAACTTACTACCTGACACAAAGCATTATTTATCAATAACACATTGAGCATGTCATCTAGAAGATACTTAAGATACGGCCTAACCAATTATGGAGTACAATGGGACTAACACATTTTATGAGGTAAAAATTAGTATTTATAAATATAAGCTAACTATATCTACAATGCACTGAATTTTTTATTTTCCATAATTAATAGGCTACAACCCTATGGTACTGAGGTGGGGGAAGGGAGGTTTTTGAGACATGATTAGAATATGAATGGAATTACTACTGTTAAGAACAGATGCAAGAGACTAGTCTCATCTTCTTTGGCCACATAAGAATGAAAGAAGAAAAGCAGAGGAGGACCCTAACAAGGCCTTGCCAGTACCCTGATCTTATAAGCCATCCAGGAATCACTTAAAGCAACATGAACTATGTCAAGCAACATGGGAATTATGCCCCTAGCAAGATAAGGAAATAACAGAAACACAAAATGAATAGCAACCCTTTCAGAGTCATGGAACAAATGCATTAACCTCAGCATAAATAGGAACTATAAGTTTAACATCTTTCTGTCACCAAATGTCATGTCCTTCAATCCAAATTTCAATATTCAAAACCTGAGTTTATATTCCACTTACCATGTTGTATGTCTTTCATGTCTAAATGAAGGCTAGACATCAATATTCCAACTGCTTGTGATCGTTTGTTGCTTAATAACTTGACGACCTGTTCAAGCAAAGAAAAAGGAAAACATTAAACCAAATTTCAAAATTCCTGATAACATATTTTTCAAACCCTTAAATGGAAAAAAAAAAAAGTCAACAGAAAACACCTTCTTCCATTGCTTAAATGATTCAAAACCAATTGGGGAAGTCAGGGCTGAGGCGTGAACAATGCTTTTGAGTTTCATGTCATAAATCTTTGAGATCCAACATTTCCCCTTCGATTACACTATCAGCTTTAAAGTCACGTTTGTCAATAGTATTTTAGGAGCATGATCTGTCAACAGTTTTCTATAGTCTACAAAATTAGTCTTTTCTCCCTAAGATAATGATTACATGTTTAATTATGTGCTGCCTGAGTTATAGGAAGCGTTCCTGTTTAAATACAGAGCCCTAAAACTGTGGACAAAAGAGAAGCACTAAAATGCACACAAAGAAAATAAATTAGATCAGAGCACTTGTTCTGCAAAAATGAAAATGTGCTTTTATTTGGTCATTAAGAAAGCTCACGATGTTGCTGGCAGTTCTTCTCATTCTGCATTTGACCCATAATTTGTGGAGAACTTTCCAACTAACAGTGAGATAGAACCATCAAGTTGGCAGAGCCATAACCACCACACTCAAGTTTGCCTGTCCAGAATGTCTCGGAGAGTCAGAGCACACAGCCCTAAAGGCAAGCTTCCCAACAGAGATGGGCAGTAGGTTATGGAGCAGATGTGTTAAAATCATGCCTTGCAGACAACATAACATGGCACTAATAAATCCTGCTTATGAAACTCTTACCCCGATTCCTGATCCTTGTAAGGAACAGCCATTTCTATTTACTATCGGTGTTTTGTTTCAAATCTACTTAGAAAAACATAGCAGGAAAAGGAAAGAAAAGCAGTTATGGCCAAATTACCAGAAGTGACAGCTGCCTTAACAGCTATCACATTTGTTGACCTTGTATTTCTCTTTGGTTTAAGTTGGGTCAATCAGGAAACTAATAAAATAATCATAGCCAGCTGTCACAAGAAGTCACAAAGTAAAACAACGCTCTCCACAGCTATAATAGCTTTCTTGGTTCCCCAGCAGGGATGGGGGTTGGGAAGAACACAAACTACTTTCAGAAGGATCAACCACAAAAAACCTCCGCAGTCATTTCTGAAAACCTCCTGTGGTATGGGACAATACCTCCCAAGAGGCAAGAGGCGCTGATGCCTCAAAGAAAAATTGACATATAGATTTTGATTCTAAACGTGTTCTTTAAACACATTACTAAATTTCATCTAGGAAAAAACAGTTTCAAAATTGAATAGGTATCCACTGGCAAAACAAAATAGTTCTATCAATGATATCTTCCTCTAGAGCTGAAAAAGATAGACATTTAATATTGGGAAAGCAGAAGATACAGAGTTGTTCTGAAAAACAATTGCTAACCACAGATAAACTCAATCTGGGCCCCGTCTTTGCTATTTGAAAACACTTTTTCCTATCATCTTCCATCCCTGAAATGAAATCGACACGTTTGAATTCATATATCATGTGATTTCCCTTTAGTTTGTCATGCTCATCAGACTATTATGGCGACTCTGCTCTGAATCCTGGCCCTTCTCAATCCTTCAGTAAATGAATTACTCTGAAGCCTGCATTGTAGAACAGTGAATTAACCTACTTTCTGTGGTGCTGGCATCCCACAAGAGAACGCTGCTTTAAGTCTCAGCTGCTCTAAGTCTCAGCTGCTCTGCTTCTGCCCCAGCTTTCTGCTAGTAAGCCTGGGAAACAGCCGATGCTGGCCTGAGTATTGGGTCTCTGCCACCCACATGGGAGATGTAGATGGAGTTCCAGGCTCCAGGTTTCATCTGGCCCATCTCACCAGGCACTCTGGCCATTTGGGGAATGAATCAGAGGTGAGATGATCCCTCCCTCCCTCTCTCCCCTCTCTCTCTCCCTCTCTCTTTCTCTCTCTCTCTCTCTCTCTCTCTGTCACTTTGCTTTCAAGTAAATAAAAATAAATATTTTAAAGACAAAATGAATTATTCTAGTTTCATTTTCAATATTACCACAGCCCATAGACTCATTATTCTCTTATTCTCTCAAATGTATATACATAACAATCTTCAACTCAGCCATTACTGACCTTCCCTAAACAATATTTCCCCTTAAATCTGTTATATAAATCTCCATTTAACATGTTTAAAAACAAAGCCTTATCACTCCACCCAAAAGGCTCCATCCAGCTTCGCCTTCTTTTTTTGATATGTTGAAGTAAGAGTACCACCATTGACCACCCATTACCAAAGCTGGAAATCTAGAAATCAGTCTAGAATCGCACCATTTCCTTTTTGGCCACTTAGATCTGGTATCAAGTCCAACCAATTTCAGGTCTTCTGTGTCTTTGGAAACCACTGACACCTCGCTATCAGTGTTTGTTTCTATACAATATACTACACGAATCAATACAACAAATTTCTAATTAGCCTTCCAAAATCTAACCCAATAATGCACATATTGTTTTCCCGAGAACACTTACCATCAGCATCACCTGGAAACTGGTTAAAAAGGAAGCCCTTCATCCCTCTCATAAATCTACACATCAGGGAGTATCAATCTGAAGTTTAAAAGCCTTCTGTCTGATTAACCCTTCCTGTCCATTCTCTAAATTTAATATCCAGGAAACTTTCCCCAAATGCTTATATCTGCATGTTGCTTCTTAATCTTTAACCCTTACTTTATAAACCCAAAGAGCTCATGTTTAAGGGTTAGTTGTTTTAGAAAGTCATATAGAAAGTTCCACAGTTCATACCTGAAGTTTGCTTTTTCTATTAAAAAATCAAATGTGCTTGATTACAACTATGTTTATTTAAATGCATAAGGCATCATGTAGGAACTATAATTACCCATGTCTTTCATGAAGGCGCACACATTCAAGAGAACACAGATGTCTCAAAGGATGATGGACTCAGGATTAGATGTTCATGGTGTGTGGAACAATGCCCTATTGGAAGGCTTGGTGCAAGTCACTTGTATCTCGTGCTTCAGCCCCAAAGTTCTGCAACAGATGATGGCCCAAGTGCTTGGATTCCTGGCACTCACATGGGAGAACCACATAGAGGTCCTGGCTCCTGGCACTGGCCTAGCCCAAACCTAGTTGTTGCAGGAATCTGGGGAATGGATTAAATTGGGTAGACGATTCTCTCGCTCGCTCGCTCTCTCTCTATCTCTCTCTCTCTCCTCTTTGTAACTCAAGCAAAAATTCATAAACCTTTGAAAAATATTAACAACAAAAGGATGGACTCCAAAGTTCCCTACAGTAACCAAAGCTCTGTATTATGAATTGTTGTCATTTTTTTTCCTCCTTCTCAACACTCCGGAAAGTAAGAACCTGAAGCTATCAGACTAGCTGTTATTAGAATCTGCTGACCACAGCCATATTGGAAATAAAAAGAATCATCTAAGATGACCTGAACTCCTTAGCCAAAGAGAAAAATGCAGAATTAAAAATCTGAAAGCTATAGAACTAAAGGTATTACCTTAGTCTTCCCCAGAAGTCAGGATTTAGGCATAAAAGTTGTGAACATGGACTTCAAAAAATAAACTAGTACCTCTCAAACCTTAACATGCTGCTTAGCCTATGGGATGGCTGAATGGGGCTCTGGTTTCACATGTCTAACCCAGTCTCAGCTTATTACAGTGTTTCTAGAGCACAGATCATGAGTTTCTAAGAACCTTCCACTTATTTCCAAATGCATTCCCCAAAAATCTACTACAACTAAAGCCTCAGTTCCACCATCTGCAAAAACAATAACATTATTTTCTAAAAGTTACAGAATGTTACATTTTAGCTAACCCTTTTGTCAATGTGCCACCATGCAGTGTGTTGAATGCTATAAATGACACTTGTAAGAAGACAATACTTAGGAAACCACTTTTAAAAACTTTGACAGAAATAAAATATTTGGTAGTTTGTAATCTCACTCTACTCACAAGATACTAATGCATATACTACTTCAAGGGAGAAACACTGATTACTAAGTTTAATTCTATAAGACAGTTATTGAACTCTTTCCTCTGATGTCCAAAAACAAAACACCCAGAAATTTAGTAAGGTAGTAGCTTTATAATGTTTGAAAATTATTTCTCTACTTCAACTTTCTTCCTTGGCAGTCTAGGACCAATAAACCTATTTACTTAGAAAATATGCTATATTTTGGTCCAGAAAATTGCTCAGTGACTAAATCCTCATCTTGCACGTGCAAAGATCCCATATGGGTGCCAGTTTATGTCTCAGGTTCTCCACTTTCGATCCAGCTCCCTGTTTATAGCCTGGGAAAACAGTACATGCTGACACAAAGTCACAAAGTCTTGGGATCCTGAGCCCACATGGGAGACCTAGCAGAAGCTCCTGGCTCCTGGCTCGGGATTGGCTTAGTTCCAGCTATTATGACCACTTGGAAAGTGAGCCAGCAGATGGGAGATCTTTCTCTGTTTCTCCTTGACTATGTAAATCTGCCTTCTGAAAAAAAAATATTTTTAAAAATATATGCTATCTTTGGCCATGAAACTAAATAAAACAAAGATATCATACATTTGGTCCCAGTGAAAAGTTGTAAGATCCTAATACAGTTCACATAATTAGGCTGCATAAATAGAGACGTGTTTAAAAATAACATTACCTAACTTCTGGTCTTAACAATTACTGCTACCAATGAGACAAGTTTGATCTATTTCCATGACCTATTTTTAAAATTTATTGACTTAGCTTATAAACTAATGAGTACTGGGAGTTTGAAAGAATGATGATAGAAATAATCAGACTATATTCACATCTACTTGTAGATTATTAAATGTTAATTTATTTTCTTTGTACTGCCTCATAACCTTACATGGATGACTACACATAGAAATCTTTAACAATGGGAGAAACAGTAATTCAATCAACAGGTACTTCTCAGCTTAGGGTTATGTACAAGGTTGCATCACAAATACCAAAAACTAGTCCTTTTCATCAACTTGAGCTTTTTG